AAACACGCCTACATTCACACATGAACGGGGAGTGTTCCCCGCCATATTCGCTCCAGCTCAACTAGCAAGGGTCGTCTTACCACAGAAACCCAGCGGGAAAAGGGTCAGAATGTCATAACACAAGGCCAGCTGTCTGCACTGGTCTTCACACTTGGCCATCTCTTTTAGAGCAGCGCACTTATACATTCACATCACACCGGAAATGCACCTGTACTGGCACCACTCGGCTAGCACTGCACCCTGTAATGGACGGGTTCCATCGCCGCACACCGCGTGCACTTCTCACTTACAGCCTTCACTACCAGGTGGCTGCTGAGCCGCGGGGGCCGCGAGAAGGAGGCGCAGCGAGCGATCGCCTTCTACCGCGGCAAGCGGGCTGACGTCGCCATGGAAACCAAACACATCCTGCAGGTGCTGCGGGGCCGGCCGACTCCAAACATACTCCAGCAGGTACAGGAAGGCGCCTCGCGTCCGAGGCTGTGTCCGGCACTGGACGCACGCCACACGGGCCACAAAGAGAAAAACGTCATTCGTAGATGCGCCCCGCAGGCGTGTGAGCTGATGTCTTGGATATCCGCACATGGTCCGCAAAGCTAGGTGTCTTTAAGTCTGCTCAAAGTTCAACATAACAAGTAGCCAACATACCACCATGGTGGTCCAGCATGCATCTTAAAGGGAGTGTCCCCCATTGGTGCGGGTTTTAAACTGGAATAGCAATCTTGAAGATCACTCGATGCGGTTCACGGCGCTGGCCTTCTCAAAGCCCATACCTCGCCCGTTTCTGAGCTACCAGCCCGCGAAGATGTGGATACTTTTTCGGGGAGATAATTTCAAAGTCAGCCATGACGACAAAATAGACATCATTCAATTCTGCAATTCAGTCAGCCATGCGGCGATCACAGCCAATAAAGACAGCCTTGTCAAGTATTTCACATCTGGCATTCGTGAGCACAATTTCCAGATATAACGGTTGTCAACTGGCTTTCAATCGGTCTTGCGCAAGGTACGCTGGCGTAATCAAACAATGATGTATTGAGGAGGATATCTACTGAACAGAGAAATTGCACTGTCTTGAGGAGTCTTTTCTACTTAAAAGTAAGCAAATCGTTACGAGTGAGCTTATCCCACGCATGATGCTCGCTGCAATATCTTCAACTATATAATATTTCCTTTAAGCGAACTTTTTCGCGAAAAAGGCGAAAACAGTTCCTTTGCTGAGAACAAAGAACCTTCTGAGCGAGACGAGGTTCGGTGCATCTGAATCGAACCGAGAATTGCTGCCGAAAAAATCGAAAGAAACATCTGAATTCATTGAGCCACCACATTGTCTTCCATGAGGATGACAAGGTGCTGGGCTTTGCGTTAAAGTATCCGGAGTTCGATCCCTGGCAGTTGCAGAAACGTTTAAAAGGTAACTTGCGAGTGACCAGATGTAGTTACCTGGTGATAGAAAGTGTTGTCACCTGGTAAATGTGGCATCACGCAGGTATTTTCAATCCTCTATTGCCGACACACCACAGCAAGATCACCCACCAGAATTTTACTGCCAAGCAGCCGCAACGAGCTTGGGGCCAGACATATGCTACGCAGTAAGCATATGTTTGGCTCAAAGCCACCCGTAACCCCAGACGTTTCAATAGTTGTCCATACTACATAGCCAGGTGGTCTTCACCCACACATACATCGATGTAATTCGCGTCCAAAGACGTCCCCTTCTGCCAATCGCACGCGAACACCTCGCTCCGCGGCCAGGCCCGGCTCATCTTCACCGACTGGGACGTGGCCAAGCCGTGCCTCCTGCTGCTGGTGCAGTTCTTCTTCGACTCCTTCTGCGGCGGCATTGTGCTGACGCAGTACGCGCCCGGGCTCTTCCGCATGGCCGTCAGGTCGCTGGAGCCGGCCCAGTGCACCCAGCTGCTGGCCGCGCTGCAGGTGGGTCAGACCAGCGCCTCGGCGGCGGCGGCGCGCTGGTCCGACGCTGGCTTCGGGTACGTGAGGAGCTTCATGTCCACCATGTAGCGCGCAGAGTCCGTTGCGGTCGTCTGGATGATCTTGCTGTGCTGCTCCTGTTGCCATGGCGACAGGGCCACAGCGGGCTACTGCGATACCGGGCGGACAGTGCGCGATGTTACTGAGCGCAGATTACTGCAGTAATCAGTGCACCCATGCTTCCAGTCATCCCGCAAGTAGTATGTAAACAGTGACCTGCTCTTGAAGTGAAACACGTGTAGTTTGCACGCCTGGAAACGTCACACTCTCTCGCGTCCCATCGACGAAAAGTGACCCACGCGCCTAAAGCAGACCAGGGCGTGACGTCAGCGGTGCACTGGTGCACCCATCGTGGCGCCATCCCTCCAGTTTAGGACTCGCACCACCTGCCTGAAGTGCCACGACCAGCACGCCAGTTTTCGCCATCCCCCGTCCGGCACGCGCGTGTTCAGGTGCTGGCGCTGGTCGGCTCCGCCTGCCTGCTCCCCTGGTGGGGACGACGCACCGTGCTGATCGGAGCCGCCTCCGTCGCCTGTCTCGGCATGCTCACCGTGGCGGCCTTCTTCAAGTTCCAGGTCAGATCAGCGCGTTGCCACTCCCTGGTTGCTATGGTGACCGTCTTCGCGTCTTTGTATTCATGTGATGTTCGCATTTCGGCGGCATTCTCGGGGCGAGACGTGATCGTGACACGTGGCCCTGGTGACAATGTGATGCCATGTTCCGCGATGACGGCGTTACTCACCACGTCCCCGCAATGGCCATGTCGTTAAGCATGTTTCCGAGGGCCAACGCCGCCCTGACGAGCCTGTGCATGCGCGCATCCACGCGGTGATCCCATTTTCACCCATGTCCCGTGACTGCCCCGTGACTGCCGGGACTGCCCCGGCACGCCTTCAGCCGACAGCTGCCGCTCACACGTGGCTCAGTGATCGCAAACACTAGCTCCTGTCCCGGTGACTGACCTTCCTCCCCCTCAGGCAACGCTGGGTCTCCACACCTGGCTGGTGGTGGTCGGCGTCGTGCTCGCGAACGCCGGCAGCTTGGGCGGCGTGTCGGCCCTCTCCCACCTCTTCTGCGGCGAGCTGCTGCCCCTGGCCGTGCGCCAGATGTTCGGGAACGTTCTCTCGCTCTACATGGGCGCACTCGGTATGACCTTCATCCACCTGTTCCCGGTGCTGCGCGAGGCGCTGGGTCTGTCGGGCCTGTTCGCCGCCCTGGCCGGCGTGAACGTGCTGCAGGTGGTGTTTGCCCGCTGCCTGCTGCCCGAGACGCGGGGGCTGACTCTGGAGCAGGTGCAGTTCAAACACTTCAGCACCAAGCGGCGCGCTGAGGAGGAGGCGGAAGCGACGGCAGCGACGACAGAGACGGCCGCGGCGAGAGACGCTCAGCAGCGGGGGCCGAGCGGCGGCGAGGAGCTCGCGCAAACCCGAGACCAGGAGCTCCGCGCGAACGGAGACCTAGAGCCGCAAACCAGCCGGGACGAGCAGCGGCGACCGAACGCGGTCGCGCTCAGAGGAAGCCGAGACGAAAAGCGCCGAACGAGCCGGGACCATCCCGGAGAAGGCGAGCTCGGAGGGAGGGAAACGCACGAGCCCGGATCGAGCGGACCCTCCAGCCCGCAGGAGGTCTGATTCAAACGCTGCAGCCCGGTCCAACGCCTGCCCGTCGTCGCGAGAGCACAGACGAGAGACGCGAGCCTGTGGCGCTGCCCCGCGTGAGGATACAGTGAGCACACTGCGGTGAAAATCAGTCGGGGATGCAAGTCTGCTCCGGCTGGAGTGGGGCAAGGCCAGCTCGGAGCTGGTTTGTCGTCAGTCAATGACTTAACGTCAGGCGCGAGCTGCGGGCTGCGATATGTTCAGTGTCCCTTCACAGACAACACACATGTGGATGTTTTTTCACAGAACTGCCCCTGCGAATGCTGTAGTACCGGAACACTTCTTGTTGCCATAAGTATATGTCATATCACGGGAGGTGCGGAATAAAATAAACGTCACTCAAGTGTTAACTAAAAACACCAAGCCAAGCGTCCCTGACCAGAGCTGGATTCTGACCCGGAGAAGTGCTCCCAGGCTGGCCATACTGGTATTTGGAAGAGCGGACAGATCAGACAGTGGCGTGCTCGGGTCCCGCGTGGGATGCGCGGGTTCGATTCCCGGCTGGCGCCATGACCTCTGGACGCTGACACCTCGCAGGAGAGGCCGGTGCTCCATAAATGGTGGAACAACGGCGTGCGCCACGCCCGTTACCAGATAAATGAGGGCCTTGCATGAAGAGAATGCTTCTTCGCATTTTTTTCACGATTAGACATATTCCCTTTGTGTTGGAGTTAAGAGCCGCAGTCCACAAACCAACAAGAATCGCAAGCATTTTCAGCGAGATTTGGTCACGTATGTAGAGGCGCCACCACTTTTCAGTATCACACTTATTTATGGACTGACTTAGTCAAGCGAATGCATTCTTTCATAAAAAAGGGCGTTACTACGCAACAATTCGTAATACTTAATAACCATCTTATCAAACGCCAGACGAAAAATGCAACACAATTTGGTAGAGCAGCTACGCACAAGGTAACAATTTTGCTTCCAACTTTACTTCCTCGTCCTCAATTTCTTTCAATCATGTTCAATCGCACTGGTCCGATCATTTCAACAACCGTGCTTCATCGCCAGTGGTGCTTTCCATTTATCTCCTTTCGTCTGAAGACTGAGTCAAGCCAATCCAACCCAATCCAGACCTTCCAAAATACACGTGGGTTGAGCCCTACTATGTGCAGCCTCGAGCGGCGGCGGCGGCGGCGGCGTCCACCAGACGTGCCGACGTGTCGGTCGCCGAGGAGGCCGGCCGTATGCGCCCCGGCTGTGCCGGCTGACTGGTCGGGCGCCGCCGCCGGGCGCGCGTCACGTCACGTCACGTTACGCGACACCGACAGACGTGACGTCCCATGTCACGAGTCGTGGCGGGCGGAGAGCGGCGGTCGCCGGCGCCGCTCTCGGCGGGCGGGGACTTACCGTGGTCGGCGGCCGTCTCGGAGGGGTGCTCCGCTGGCGCCGTCTCCGAGACCCTGTCGACCGGTGGGCACCCCGTCAGGTCAGGTCGAGTATCAAGTCTGGCATCAGGTCTGGCGAACCAATGGCACGGCACGCGAACAGATAGCGCCGGTTTGGATGGGACCACGGCAAACACAGCACACATACCGGCCCCCGACATGGCACCATAGCACGGGACCAGTTCTCATCATGGCACTACAGCATGGGGCTCAACCATCCCACCGCGCGCATCTCTCAACATGGCACCACAGCACCATCTCTCGACATGACACCTTAGCACGAGACCAGCTTCTCACCATGACACTACAACACAGGTTCTGATGACACCACGACTCCACAACCCAGCCTCAGCTCGTAGCAAAACACCACAGCACACGCGCAGCTCCCACTGTGGCGCCACAGCGGAAATCGGCGCACATCATAGCAACACAACCCAGCATCAGATTGTACTTGCAACACGATCAGGGCCCAGTCCACAACAAACTCCCACAGAACAATATCGGATATCACAGGATCACAACAAGGACCCAGGCCAGAGCAAACTCCCACAGCCCAGTCTTCGTCGCGCAAAACTGCAGCAGGAGCGGCGAGCAAGAGCAATCCAAACGCGAGCAACTGCAATACCCACGCATGTCACTGCAGAGGCCATTGGGTCATCCAGCTTCATTTACACCGCGACCAAGAGGAAACCGGGGTCAGCAAACCCTCCGGCAGCAGGAGCCGAGGTCAAATTTATCGATCTCGAGCCCCGAGCCTGGGCGGCCCGCCCGGCCCGCCTGGGTCACGGCGCACCTGAAGTGTGGCGTGACCTGCGCCGGGGTCGGGGTCAGGTCACGGTCACCGCCGGCCGCTTCGATCAGCGGCGATATGAAGTGTTCTATGAACGCGGCGTGGCCGAGGCGAACGGCCACGTGCAGCAGAAAGCTCCGGTGGAAGAGCTTCATTGACTTGCATGTGATCTGCGCGCAGGGAGGACGCGAGTAACACCCTAACACACGTGCGCAGGGGCTGGCCCTGGTACAAACTGCGTGACACTTGCTGAATACCGTTCGGCGTTATGCGGCGTCATAGTGAAGTGGAGACCACGACACCCGTGTTCGTACTGCAAAATAGCGTATCTAATTGATAATTAAAGTAACTTTAAAAAGCAGTGCCATGAAAATGTAGCGGCAGCGACAGCGTTAAACTGAAGAACAGGACAAAACGAAAGAAGTGAGCTCTTAGAACCCCAGTGGAAGAACATACAACGCCTTCCATCCACTCAGAGTCAATGTTCATGATGACATCAGGTGTTGCCCTGGCGCCCGCTCGTTCGCAGCCGCTCACCGCGTCGCGACGGTAGAGCCGCAACAGCGGCTGCAGGAACACTTCCCGCGCCTGCGCCGGGCCAGCCGCGCGCCACCGGGCTGAACACGTGCCAGGCGGGCCAGCACGCACGTGGCGCGCGCACGTCAGCAGGGTGGGTGACGTGCGCACGAGCAGCAGCAGGCTCTCGTCGCTGAGCTCGGTCAGCAGCGAGGCCAGCCGTTGGCGTGAAGAGGCGCACCTGGAGGGTCGGAGCAGGGCGCTGAGGCGGCGGGGACGCGTCCGACGCCGCCTTGCGTCGAACCAAGCCGAGGGGTCGGAGAAGCGGGCGAGCGATGGGCACCGCTGGATGGTGTGAAACTGTGCCCAGGGATCATTGAACTATCAGAGGATTACATGCACACTACAGACGAACCTGTAGTCATGCAGACGAATATTACAGAAACACAGCTTAACATCATGCAAGGGAACCAAAACGCACAACTCAGCCCGTCATGTCTTAGGGGCACCGACACCTATGATCATTTGGGGCACATAAACCAAGGTATTACATCCCCACTTTGCACCATTCATACGAGGGCATACAACGCACAGGTGCACAGCCCCTCACACCTGTTCATCCACTACTCTACCCCTCATGCTATCCTGGCAGCCGCTACCCTAACCGCTGATCCATTATCCTGCCCCTTATCTAATACTCTACCCCTGATCCAATACCCTACGCTCGATCCAATACGCTACCCCTGATCCACTGCCCTGCCCCTGATCCACTACCCTTCCCCTGATACACCACCCCTATCCCTGATCCGCTATCCTACCCCTGACCCACTACCCCCTCACGTCTGCCCACCTCCCACCTACCCAGAGCTCCGCCGCCAGCGCCGCCTCGTCGCTCGCCTCTCCCGCTCTCTCGGCCGCCGCCGCCTGCCGGTCTGACATCCGACGGAATTCCGCCAGCGCCGCGTACAGCGCCGGGACCGCGGCCGGCAGCGGAAGCGGCGACAGCGGCGGCCGCAGCAGCGCCGCCGCTGCGCGCGGCGGCCCGCGGCGCAGCAGACGCGCCAGGCCGGCCAGCCAGGCGGGCGCGCCGGCCGCCAGCGCCTGGCGCGCCGCCTGGCAGGCGCGCAGTCAGCGGCGCGCCTGCCGCCAGGCTGCGGAAGGCGGCCGGCGCGCACAGCTCGGCCAGAAGACACAGCCACGCGGAGAGGTCGCGAGCGCGCCGCGCCCTGCCGGGCGGGGTTCAAGGGTCAGAGCGCGCAGCTCAGGGATCATGGCGCGGGGGCCAGGGACCAGGGTCCGGGGTCTGGGGATCAGGGGCGGAGGTCGGGAGTCCGAGGCGGGATCAGATGTCAGTGTCAAGAGACACCTGACATCTGGTCAGGGAAACCAGGGTGGTGAGGGTCAGTTTGTCGGTAGTCAGGGGCAGGACCAAGTGGCCCTGCGGCCAGGAGACAACTGGTTGGGGCAGACGGGAAGCCGGATAAAGACCCGCAGCAGATTGTGCTTGACCTGGTAAAAACCACAAAGATTAATTCTTAATTGTGGTGTTTCTGCTTTCGACAACGGATGGGAAAGGTATTATAAACGCGCAAAAGCAACAACACTTTGTGAAAAGTTGGCTGGCACACACGCACAAGCATACGGTGTGGATGAGGCACCACTGACGGTTGTACAAAATTCCAGTCGTTTCTCTTCTTTCGCGCAATACGGCAGTGTTCTATAATGTGTTATCGTCACTCTGGTTCCTCCACAATACGGCAGTTTGACAACCGAATAAAAACCCGGCGCCCTTCATCCGCTTCTGTTCGGACAGCCGGTAAGACGTCAGATGGCATCACGCAATCAGACTCCCGGATGATCATTTATTATATGACAATATGAATCGAAGTAGATGGTGCTGGAGAACAGGAAATACAGGAAATCGTCACAATTCTCCACATATGCGACCAGCACACAAACTGCCAATTTCCAGAACTCGAGCGCGCTCAGCGTCCACACGCGACCGTCAGCTCTCGCCTCCTCACCTGGATCACCTCGGAGGGCGCCGGGGCGCGCTGGGGCGATCCCGGTTGCAGCGCCCCGCGCGCCGCCGCGCAGAACGCGCCGAGCGCCTCCAGCCGACGGAGCGCCGCCGTCGGTCGGTAGTGCGCCGGCAGGCGGATCAGCTGGCGCGGCTCTGGCTCGTCCGTCTCGCGGCACGGCTCATCAGCGGGCACCGCCGCGCTTCCGCCATCTGTCGGAAACCGGAGGAAGCTGTAGTGCAAGTGGTGGCGCTGCTCGGCCGGTGTGGGAGTTGCTACTTTGGAGACGTGAGATGGGCTGCAAGCGGCCGGCAGGGTTCAAAAGAACGATCCCCATGTCGTTTGGTATCTGCACGCGATTCTCGTCTAATGACCATTAACGAATCTTATATGACAGCTTATCCTCGTCCTTGTCCCATGTTCCTTTTGTGTTTCATATGACTTGTTATTTAGTGCGCCAAGTCGAACAGGATGGTCCGCACCAACCTCTCTGCCCAGACATAACTAGCAGGTCCTGTTCCGCGGGCGGCGTCTTCCTAAAGAACGGCAGCGCCGTCTGCCGCGGAGGGTGGGGCGTGTCGAACAGTTGCAGTACACCGTGGCGCCGCAAGGTGTCACCGCTCTCGGCCAGGTGGCGGCACACGTTTTTTGGCGCGAACGGCCGCAGGGTCCGGTGAGCCTGGACGGAAGACGAGCACATTTGGCCCCACCGTGAGCACTGACCGGGAGTGAAGCTGAAGACAGCAGCATAACTGACAGGTGACAGGAGTGTATAGCTCATGGCCCCACCCAAACACTGAATTGGACGCAAACAAATTTGCTACTGAACAAGAGAGTGTACAACTTGTGAGCACATCGAGCGGCCCGACCTTTACCAAACTGTGTACTGACATGCCCACCCCGTAACTCAATCAGTTACGGCGGCTGCCTCTTGGCCGATTTCACGATCCGTGGTTGTGTTAGGGTTCACACAAGCACTGCGTGGAATGAGGTCTGATCATAGGAGTCCATGCAAACCAAAATGTTCGCGTCAATTTTATGCAAGAAAACTGCAGACGGTAGGCGCGAAAATCACGCCCGGCTGGCGGCCAACACGCGACACTCCACCACAAGCCACCGGACTCGAGTCTCCCGGGGCTCACTTGTATCCGAAGGTGAGGTCAATCCAGTGGTGCAGGTGAGCCGACACCTGGTCCGACTCCAGCGCCGCCCGGTGGTGACTGATGAAAACTCTCGGGGAGACTCCGCCCACTCGGGCACACTCCAGGTCGGCCAGGGTCGGGATGGATCGACTGTGCATTGGCGGACGCAGTGTCATAACCGTGGAATACGAGCACGGGTGCAATACCAAGCAGCAGTGCATTCACAACTATGCAATACTCCGCGTCCGTCCTGCCCATGCTCCCATGAGACGAAGCACAGGAAAGTGTGGCATTTATCGTGGGAAGTATTGTGTTGTGTAGGTGGGAGGCGGAACTCAAATGACGAACGGCAGCAGTGCATGGTTCGATTCTGGTGACAGTATAAAGGGGCCAGTACAAACATCCTGGGAAAGCATGTCACGAATATCAAATTTGGACATCATCCCTGATACCCACACTGCCACTATGACTGAAGGTAGAAGCTAAATACACTCTTAGCTGGTTTCTCTCTCACTCTGTCTATTCATACGGGTTACAGGCCACTCAGCATGCGGATACGGGCATATGGACATGCAGAACCCTACCATGAACATATCACCACATGTCCCACAAGCCACGCACGGTTTACGACCCCCCCCCCCCTCTTCCCATCCGCCACTGTTGACCACCTCTGACCAAGCCACGCACGGTTTACGACCTCTCCCCCCCCCCCTCTTCCCACTCCGCCACTGTTCCGGACCACCTCTGACCAAGCCACGCACGGTTTACGACCCCTTCCCTCCCCCCCCTTGCCACGCCGCCGCTGGTCCGGACCACCTCTGACCAAGCCACGCACGGTTTACGACCCCTTCCCTCCCCCCCCCCTTGCCACCGCCGCCGCTGTCCGGACCACCTCTGACCAAGCCACGCACGGTTTACGACCCCTTCCCTCCCCCCCCCCCCTTCCCACCGCCGCCGCTGGTCCGGACCACCTCTGACCAAGCCACGCACGGTTTACGACCCCTTCCCTCCCCCCCCCCCTTGCCACCGCCGCCACTGTCCGGACCACCTCTGACCAAGCCACGCACGGTTTACGACCCCTTCCCTCCCCCCCCCTTCCCACCGCCGCCGCTGGTCCGGACCACCTCTGACCAAGCCACGCACGGTTTACGACCCCCCCTCCCCCCCCTTCCACCGCCGCCGCTGGTCCGGACCACCTCTGACCAAGCCACGCACGGTTTACGACCCCTTCCCTCCCCCCCCTTGCCACCGCCGCCGCTGGTCCGGACCACCCTCTGACCAAGCCACGCACGGTTTACGACCCCTTCCCTCCCCCCCCCTTGCCACCGCCGCCGCTGGTCCGGACCACCTCTGACCAAGCCACGCACGGTTACGACCCCTTCCCTCCCCCCCCCTTCCCACCGCCGCCGCTGGTCCGGACCACCCTGACCAAGCCACGCACGGTTTACGACCCCATCCCTCCCCCCCTTGCCACCGCCGCCGCTGGTCCGG